GGGGGCGCGACCGGGCAGGGGGAGAAACGGGTGCGCGCGCAGTCGCCGCCCAGAGCAGTCTTCGGCCCCTGGCCTCACTCTCACCCCTTCCGGTTTCCCCTTCGTTGGCTTACTCTTCTCGCCTCCTTACCTCCGCCACCTGGGCCTCACGTGACGCGTCTCCCCCGACACGTGACGCGAGTAGGGCCGCGCCCTTCCCTCCCTCTCTTTCGCCATCTCCCGGAAGCGTAACACTGAACGCGCCTGCGCAATGGGTTCCCCGATCGCGCTGTCCCCGGGTCTGGCGTCTCTGCGGGCTGCACAACCCGCCGGAGGCAGGGGGTGTTCTCGCCTGTGTGTCCATCTCATAGTTCCCGCACCTATGGACCCTGAAAAGCCACTGCTGTTACTACGGAGCTAAGTCACTACCTCAGCTGTGATGTGCGTTCTTCGTCTAGAACCCCCCCAGTGTGACTGAGGTAACCGCGCCCAGCTAGCCGAATGTGGCGCCTGCGTGCATGCGAGGGGGAGAGCACCGCCCGCCAGCTCTACTGCGCAAGTGTGGTGAGAGGGCTTCCCTGACCGCGGGGAGACCCTACCCATCCTATGTTTTAGCCTTTGTCTGCGGTCCTCACCGGCTCTATGTGCCACGCCTACTTGTACGCTTTGGGCAAGTATCTACCCTGACTGGCGTCTGGTGTCCGCCTGTCCGGAGGGACCGCTCGGGCTCACTGAGTCCGGAGAGTGGCTGTGTATGTCCTGTAACTGGTTCCCTAAGGGTCAGTAGCAGTGTTTGAACCATTTCCATTGTGGTCATTACTGCAACAAAATCGTTCCTCCTTCCTACCCTTGAAAGAAGAGCTGCTACTGAGGGAGGAAAAAAAACTACAGTTCCCCAAATCCATTCTTTCTGGAACAGTTACTAAGAATAAACTGCTTTTCTGCGGTCCCAACTGTCAGTTCCTCACTCCTGACTCGTGTCCAATCTGACTGCCCCTTTTTTTGTTTCTAGAGAACCGCCCTTATGAGGTTTTGGCAGTGTCATTTTCTTTATCGTTTCCGCTGTATTCCTCGGCTTTCTTGGTTCTGATTTAGTCTGGCCAGACATCTATAATTTTTGTGTCGTGCACAGTCTGTAGTACTTATTTGCATTATGTTTACTCCTTAGGTCTACCAACAGGGTTGCTCATGAAGGTCCTCTTTTTAAGACAATTAAGAGACAGAGGAATGGAAAGAAAATGCTGCAGGCGTCCTGGGATCTGCTCATCCAGGATGTACGCGTTCTTTCTAGGTGTTGTGTTTATCACTTTAAGTTCAAGTCGCATCTTACTGGTAAAATACTCAGCCAACGAAGGTAAGTTAAGATGTGGAGTCCGAATCAAGCACGTCTTTGGTATCCTTATATATAAAATGGACTTAGCACCTTAAAAAGTACTATGCTTTGTATGAATGACAAAGTATGTTTAAGTTTTATAATTTAGCTTTTTATTACTTGACAAGAAAAATTCTTGACACTGGGTAAAATTTGGATCATTCAAGTGCAAAATAGAACTCCTTGTACACAAAATAGATCATCTAATTATCACTTCCCCCAAGAAGTATTTCCAAATTTGTAGCATATTTTATAAATGTAGTTTACTTGGAAAGCTGATGTATTTATTTGGTTACTTGGCATTTGTCAGGCAATATAATTATTGTACTAGTGGAGCAGTAAAAATGAAAAGTTTGGTACATATTTACTCAGAAGTCTATGTTTTTAATGTAAGGGTTTTAAACAAATGCTTAATTCCACAGAACTGGGCTGGGTACTTCTTACTAATTACTGACAACAATAAAAATCATGGCATCATGACCCTTAGTGGTCTACTAGGGGAGTCTATGTGTATGTAAGTCTGGACTTCAGTTAGTATTTATCCTTCAGGTCCTAGGCAAAGGATTAGAAGTTGCATAGGTTGCTTTTCTCATTGCTCTGACAAAATACTGGGCAAAGCAAGTAAAGGAAAGAAAGCTTTATTTTGGCTCACTGAGAGAACAGTTCAGGGTGGGGGAAAGTCGTGCAAGCAGCTGGTCACATTGCATCCACAGTAAGGAAGCAAGGAAAAGATGAGAACTCATGCTCTGGCATTGACCTTTTTATTCAGTGTAGGATGGAAGCCCATGAAATGGCTTTTGACCTTCTGTGAGACCAGGATTACTTACTGTGATGTCCTACAGTGTCTGGCACATAATGTATATAAAGGAAATACCTATGAAAGGAATAAAAAGGAAGTAGTTACTCATCTAAATATACTTGGTGAACTCTATAAATGTTTCAGAATTTAGATCTAGTTGGACTGTTCATTTGATATTGAAGCCCATAGGAGCAGCAGGAGTAAAGAAGAGAAACAAGGGATCAAGGAATGCCAGCATTTAAGGGGCATGCAAGCATTAGAACAGCATTAAAGAACTCATGATTTGGACAAAGCACACACTTGGACTCCCCGGATTTAGAAGCAGAGACAGGAGTATCACAAGTTCAAGGGAGTCCAAGCTACATAGGGAACTTGGAAATGGCGTGAGGTTGAGCAGATGGCAGAAGGGGAGGGGCAAGAAAAAAAAAACCCTCAAAACTGATGTCAGATGCTGGTAATTAATTGTACTGCTGCCTTTCCATAGAGCTTTCTTTGCCTTTGATCCTAGCCTCTTCGGTGTATATTTATTAGTGGTGTGACTGAAAACCTGAGGCATGCTTACCAGTTCCAAGCATAAGAAAAAGCTGGGTAGAGTAGTGATTGATAATATATTACATGAATTGATTCAAAGATTCAGAAAAGCAGTGCCAGCTAGAAGGCATTTACTCTAACCAATACTCAGGTTTTTTATTTTAAAATCATTAATTGCATATAGACATATATAGAATAAAGTTTATAGTTCAAAATTTTCTGTTACATTTCAGAGAACAAGTATGACTATCTTCCAACTACTGTGAATGTGTGCTCAGAAATGATCAAGCTAATTTTCTGTGTGCTTGTGTCACTCTGTGTCATAAAAAAAGGTGAGTCTTGAAATGCATGCTTACTACAAATCACAGCATTAAAAGGTATAACTAGCATAACATTTTGCATCATTTAGTTTAGTCCAAACATAAGTATGTTTTATAGGTAGGGAAATAAGCGCAAAGAAAATGTTTTGCAGCCTTGTGTTGAAGGGTGGGGACCTAGCAGATTCGCCATGTTGTCCCCAGTGTCCTGCCCATTCTATGGTGGTTTGACTCAGTAACTTCTCATTTATTCTCTACCTTCCTTCCCCAGTTAGGGGCCTTGACATGATCTTTGTTCTCATGTGAGATTTTTTTTAACCATGTTTTCATGTGAGATTAACAAGAGTTTAGAGTGTTAGCATACTTGTGTAGGACAATGTCTTTTCATACCTAGTGGCTTCAGTCTCTGAGTTAGAGTGCATTTCATAGTTTCATGAAACTCAAGACAAAGGCTTAAATTAAATTGCCTTTGTTCTCTTTCTTTGCATTTTATGTTCTCCATTACAGTATGCTTTCCTAAGTCTTTGGTCACACCAGAATGGCTAAACGTTAGTATCCATTCATATTAACTTTCACTTATCTGTTCAGCATATTTATTAGGGGACGAGTGAAAGCCTAAAGGCTTGGTATTTTCTTCTTCTTTTTTACTTATTCTAACTTGTTGATCACCTCTTGGTCTTAAGCTCAGAGAAATAAAAAATACCACAAGTGTATCCCAAGTCACCTTAAGTGATCATTTTACTTTATGTTAACAGAAATTAAGATTCTCAGTTTTGCTAAGTGAGTGGCTGGTTGCCATTGAGGGGACACAGTGATGGATTAAAGATCAACTAATAAATGCAATATTATCTCTTACTTCTAATAGTCACTTAATGGAGGCAAGTTTACAAAACCCATCGTACAGAATTGTATCAGTAATCAAATGTCCTTTCTATAAAAATATAGGCATTCTCAATACAGATAATTAATTTATTGTTATATTTCTTTATTTAGAAGAGCATCAGAGTAAACATTTGACATGTACGTCCTGGAAGGAATTCTCTAATTTCTTGAAGTGGTCCATTCCTGCCTTTCTCTATTTCCTGGATAACTTGATTGTCTTCTATGTTCTGTCCTATCTTCAGCCTGTAAGTAAAACTAACAAGAAATGCTGTTGAAAAGATACAAAGAAGCCAGTCTCAAAACTAAGTTTTCTTTTTTTTTTTTTTAATTTTCTTATACCATGTTGGTCTCTTGCCCTTAACTGGCCTTCCTGAAAATTTTTTAGAATCATCTGAATACTGAATTTCCTATTTGCTTGCCAGATTCTCCCACTCTTAAGGATTCCTGTGCTGACTGCTATGGGGAGTTGATCCCAGGCCCAAGCATGCAGAAGCCACTCCTCTTTGTATGACTTAAGCCATCTTATGATTAGCCTGTAATCTCTGTTTTAATGTTTAAGACCTTCACTTAGACTTCCAGGACTAATTCAGAACATATGACACTTGATTTACCTATCTTTGTTATGTATGTTTAAATGTAGTTTATCCATTTTAGATTTGTATGGCTTTTCTGTTAATCTGTTTTCACATTTGTTTGTGTATGTATGTTGTGTGTGTGTGTGTGTGTGTGTGTGTGTGTGCGCGCTCATACTCACACCACAGTACACATCTGGCGATCAGAGGACAATTTGTGGGAGTTGGGTCTCTTCCTCTACCACGTGGATCCCCAGATCAAACTCTTCACATCAGCTTGGTGGCAAGCACCTTTACTCTGAGCCATCTGGCTAACCCTTTTATCTGTTAACTATTACTTTTTAACTTACAGATTCTTTGAGAGTAAGGAATTGTATCATCCCAACTGATTATAATAGGAATACTCATCTCTCACCTGTACTCAGCGTGGCCATTATCAATTACACCAACATTACAACTACCTTGAACAAAGTAAAAGCCTGACTCTTAAATTTTTAAGAGTGGGCTGGACCCGAGAGAACACCAGTTCTCCCACATGCTCTCAGATCTGTGCGAATAGGCCAGGCCACACTCACATACTTCTTCCAAAATGTTTAGCTGCCTGGAGGAAGTACAAAGTTTAAGTCTCCACCCTTATCCCTACAGACCTTTCAGCCTTTTCATGCCTAGAATCTCATTCATCCAAGGTCATACGTCCTCCAAATTTCTACTGTTTTCAGTGGGTGGTTGTGCTGCTTCCAGAGCTTTAATGTTAATTCTCAAACAGTCCCACATTCATTCATTCATTATCTTTTCAGGGGAATACCAAATGAAGGTTGCCTAGGAGTCACCCTGTCATCTAGACCAAAAGCCTGGTTTTCTGGGATTAATTTAAAATCATTAGTCCAAGGCTGGGTGTGGTGGCGCAGACCAGCCTTTAATCCCTGCACGTGGGAGGCAGAGACAGGCAGATCTCAGATCTCTGTGAGATCTAGGCCAGCCTGTTCTATGTTCTACATAGTGAGTTCCAGGGTAGCTATGGCTACCAGGAAGACCCTGTCTCAAAAAGACCAAAAGAAAAAAAAGGATTATTAGTCCAGATTATGTCCACTAATAAAAGATACTCCTATACTCAGTTTGGGTCACATATATCTCCTCTTTCCCCAATCCCACCATCAACATTTTTAAAATTAAGGTTTCTATTGCCTATATTGTATATTTAAGCAAATAAATAATAAAGTCAAACATTTTAATTATAAATAACTATAAATAGGATTTTCATTGGCACTGATCCTCAATGTGAAACCTCATAAATATAGCCAGATCTGCTTTACTATGGGATGAAAAGAAGAGTGCAATAGAACACTATGGTAGAAAACAGAAGTTTGGAATCTGTGTACCTGGGAAGCCCTATCTGCTCTCAGTTTCAGTTATTTCACCTATAAAATAGGAGAAAGATAATAAGCCAACTCAAAAGCAGGGAATTAGGCCAACTAAAGCCTGAGTTCCATTCAGCTCTGTGATTTGTGGTAGTAAGCATTCGGTCCGTATAAACGTAGACTTCTAATTTCTTTCTACTTTTTCAGATTCAAGAATTTCTTCCTACAACAACATTCGCATTCAGTAATAAATATTTCTTATATTTTATTTGAAGCCAACAGATTAGCTATAATTTACTTTCTTTTCCTACATGCCCAGTACCAAACAAAATTACAGCTTCCTTATTCTTCCGTGTTGGTAGCTTTGCTCTTCCTGATTGAGCACAACCACAAATATTATGAAACAGATCATGTGACATATGCAATATATTTCTGTGCCTGATTCGGTTTAAGAAATCAAATAGAGGTGCATAGAAGTTTTAGGGCAAAAAGCCCTGATTAGATTTATTTATAGTGTTAACATGGGAAGCATGTTCAGAATCTGTCAAACCAGCCAAACTGCTTAGTTATGTGCATTTATACTGCTCTTATGTTGCTAGAAATAAAATCCAAAGTCCAAAGACCCCGTCAATACTGCACAAAGAAGACAAAGAACACATGGACAAAGCGAAAGTAATTCAGACAAAGTGAAAGTAAGTCCACAAGGCAGAGTTTACTTTTGCAAAAGGGTATCTTATATACTCAGTCAGATTCAGCAAGCACATACAGGATCTGAAGCTTGGTGGGCTTTTAGCCCTAACACAGGAGGACTGTGTCCTTTCCCTGTTGACTGGGGTCAGACCGCACAGTGTTTCCCATTTGGCTTTAAAAGAATGAAGACATGAAACTGGACATGGTTGGGCACACCTTTCATCCTAAGACTTAGGAGGCAGAGGCTTGAGGATCAGTGTGAGTTCAAGGCCAGCCTGGTCTACATAGTAAGTCTGCTGGGGCTACAGGGAGACCCTGTCTCAAAAAGACAAAAAGAAAAGAAAATCATCATGAAGGGAGAAGAACTCCACTACTCCAAGTCATCTGACTCAGGAATGCATCAGGGTCTTTCCTTAAACAAGATCTTAGAGGGTATGGTGGGATTAAAAGATTAGAATTCCTTGTCATAACCAAGTTCCAAGTTTTATAGGGTTTGGAAGAAAAGGCTAATGTTTAGTGTTTCTTATGACGCAATTATCCAGGGCCATCTCTTCCCTACTCTAACCGGCCACTTTCTTCATCAACTGTTACTTTTTTCCTAAATTGGAGTTCCATAAACATTTGTGTTACATCGAGGTACACTGAGCAAATCCATTTGTAGTCTCCCAACACAGAGAAATGATTGGGAACATGGAAAGGCTGAGTGCCCTGATTTGGTCATTATGCATTATGTGCATGTACCAGATTACCACTTCTTGTGTCAAATTTTTTAATTAAAAATTCAATAAAAAGCATTATATTAGAATTGCTGCTAGTTTTATCAAATTTATTCTTTATTTCTTTCACTGTATTATACCTGTTTACTGTTATTAGTGCTTGTACAAGTCTTGATATCCTTTGCTATTTGTTTGATTTTTTAAAATTATTTTTATGTCTATTTTATTTTATTATATGAGGGCTTTGCCTGCATGTATGAATACTGCATGTATGCAATGCCCACAGAGGCCAGTAGAGGGGGGGTGGATCTGGAGCTGCAGTTACAGGTGGCACCAGCCTCCATGTGGGTGCTGGGAACTGAATCCCACTCCTCTTCAAGGGCAGCAAGAACTCTTAGCCACTGAACCATCTCTCTAGTCCCTTGTTTGATTTCTTGATGGAGGGTTTTTGCTCTGTAGTTTTAGCTAGGCGTGAGCTCAAGATTTTCCTGCATTAGGCTTCTGAGAGCTAAAATTGTAGGTAGCTACCACCATACCCCATTTCTGTTTGTAATTTATCTAGTGTGATAACAAGAAGGAAGGTAAGGTGAACTGTCATAAGGTTATTATTAAAAATACTAGTTTTGCCAGATCCAATTATGGGGAACAATAATACTTTTTGAGCAAAATTTGTATATGTTCAGATTAAAACAGAAATATAACTGAATTCACAAAAGCAAGTCACTATAAAATCTGGATACCACATTTCTAACTAGAAATATTCTAACTAGAATAAATATGAAGGGCAATCAAGTATGAATTATATTTTCAGTCATGTCATTTCAACCAGAAAATTCTGTTTCTAGAAGAGCAAAGATGCTTAACTATCCACCCAAGTTTTCTTACCATATAAATGGACCTGACATTTTCCCTTTTACCCATAAAAGCAGTATCAGACACCTATAAAGGGGCTAAGGTTAATAATTTTAGGATGTCTGTATGTACTTGAATAGCTGTGCAAGTGTGCTTCATGAGCCTGCTAGCTGACCTAAATCTTTGGAAGTTGTATTTCTATATGTACAGATAAAGATTGTTTATTCAGTCATTGCCTGAACTTAAATACATATTTTCAAAGCCTGGACAATAATTTGATCAGATCAACATAAATTTGAACTGAAATTTAATCCCCTGGTGAAAGAGCTGCCCTAATAACCTCTCTGCTTTTTGACTAAAAGGCTTTTTATGTCAGGTGAACTACCAAGCAGGGAGGTTTCTGAGGTCAGTACTTTGTTTGGATTGTAATTCTATCTTCTCTTTCTTTCTAGGCCATGGCTGTTATCTTCTCAAATTTTAGCATTATAACAACAGCTCTTCTATTCAGGATAGTGCTGAAGTAAGTAATTTGCTGTGGAACCACGTATCATACTTTACAGTATCCACTTGATTTCAGATGATTTATCCAGCTCACTGAGCCCTCAGAGTTCATAGACCAGGATTTGGTTCCTAATTAACCTTGTGTATTGGGTGCATTGTTTAACTCATGTGCAAAGGCGCTCCAGTGCTAGACTCTTTAAATTTTCTGCCCTCTGGCATATAAAATACCTTAAAAACTTCTAAAAGTAAGATAGCTGATTGCTTTCAGTTGGTATTTTAATTGGGCTATTTGTTTGTTTGTTTGTTTGTTTGTTTTGACACAGAATCTTTACTCTGTAGTGCAGGACAGTCTCTTGCTTCAACTTCCTAAGTGCTGGGATTACTAGCCATGCCTAGCTAGTATGCAGTTTTTCAACAAAAAATTCATGAACTTTGTGTATGAATAATTTGTACATGCTAATAGTAACCAGGAAATCCCTAAGATACTTGGTACATTTATACTTTAGGGTTAGGAGATAATAAAGAGTGGCAAATTCTTTATGAAACCACATAAAGATGAACATATGTTGATTTAACTTCTACCTGTCAGACAGTTTGTATGAGGAATATAGTTAAAAGAAAATTAGTATGGCTATTGGATTAATAAATTTTTTACATTTGCTTTGCCTGTGTGCATGTGTTTGTGTTTGTGTGTACTCACGCAGTGTGCATGTAGCGGGCCAAGGACAACTTTTATAGGAGTCAGTTCTCTCCTTCTACCATGTAAGGCTCAGGAGTCAGACTCAGGTTGTCAGGCTTGGAGACAGACAACTTTAACTGCTGAACCATCTTGCCAGCCCTAGAATAATAGATTTCTTTAGCTCATAAAAATGCTACTACCAAACCATGCTCTCAACCAGGAGGACTGTTGTGTAATATTGACCATTTTTCAGCAGATGGTCTCTGCAGCAAAGCAAAGACCAGAGGACCTTAAGGTACGGGAGAATGATATAAAAGTAGATCTAGGTGCTTAATCCCAATTTAATTTGTTAGTAATAGTGGTGATATATCATAAAAGTTAACTTCTTGTTATATTTATTGTACTTACATATGTACAAATGTATTTACATTTTCTTTTACATTCTCAGAATGCTATGTGTCTTGGCTGTGGTTGAAAGCTGCTCTAGGATCTGAGTTCAGTTCCCAGAAGCCTGCAGTCTTGTCCAGCTTTGGGGGCGGGGGTATGTTACAACCACCTGTAACTACAGGTACATGGGATCACATGCCCACTTCTGGCTTCTTTGGGCACCAGCATACACCTGGCATATGCTTAAACAGACATATATACATATACATAAATAAAAATAAATCTTTAGAAAAAAAAGGATGGGTCTTCCCACATCAATTAATGTAGTCAAAATAATCCCCCATAGGCATGTATGAAGTCCTGTCTTCTAGATGATTCTAGATTCTGTCAAGCTGACACCTCCATCATAGTACTTTCATAATTTATGTGTATGAATGGGTGAATAGCTTGTACATAGCTTGAATATTTGTTGAATCTATGATGCATTTAATATGTAAATTATGTTAAATTCTGGACACATTTTCTCTTGTTCTAAGGAAACAGTTAATGTGAGTGATCAAAAATAAATATTAACAATTAAAATTTATTTTGTGTGAATGAGTGTTTTGCCTGCATGTATGCAAGTGTACCTGTGTCGTGCAATGCCCGTGGAGGCCAGAAGAGAGCATTGGATCCCCTGGTACTAGAGGTACAGATGGTTGTTAGCCACCATGTAGGTGCTGGGACCTGAACCTGGGTCCTCTGCAAGATCATCCAGTGCTCTTAACCATTGAACCATCTCTCCAGCCTCTAGGTGTTACATTTAGCACAGCTTAAATGTTAAAGTTCATTGACTTGTTTTATTCATCATGTTCTTCATTTTACTTGTGAATTGAGGAGGTTACTACCAAATTATTCTATTCCCGAAATGTTCTAAAGCTTTTAAAATTAACATGGAATTCATTTTATATGTTAAAAAATTGACTTCTAGAGGCTGGAGAGATGGCTTAGCAATTAAGAGCAGTTCAGTTCCCAGCACCTATGTTAGGCAGCCCACAAAAACCTGTAAATGTGTCTCTAGGGAATCCTATGCACTTCTTCTGGCCTCTGCAGGCACCCACACGCATGTATAGATACAAACTTAGAAATAGGTAAATAAATATTTTTTAGGGCCTGGAGAGATGACTGCTCTAGCAGAGGACCCGGGTTTGATTCCCAGCACCTACATGGAGGCTGTGAACCATCCTTAACTCCAGTTCCAGGGGAATCCAACACCCTTTCTGACCTCCACAGCATTGCATGACACTGGTGCACACACATACATGCAGGCAATACACTCATACATATAAAATAAAAATAAAATATTTTTTAAAATATTTCTTTTAAAAATTTGGCTCTAAGCCAGGTGTGGTGCCACATGCCTTTAATCCCAGCACTTGGGAGGCAGAGGCAGGTGGATCTTTGTGAGTTCAAGGCCAGCCTGGTCTACATTGTGAGTTCCAGGCCAAAAAAAAAAAAAAAAATCTGACTCTTAACAAAATGTATGTAAGCAATTGTATTTTGTATTGTGTACTGTGATGAAATTAAAGCTACGAATCCATAAAGAGAAAAATTGACTCTAACAGTGTTCATATTTTAATATGGGAGTAAAAGTTTCAAATACATGCTTTTTTAAAGTAAATACTTTTTTCCTGGGAAAGGACAGTTCATCAGTATACATAATATAGTACTTGTCATGTAATATACAAGTATTATATCAAAATTGCATTAAAAACTGAATTTCTCAAAGAGAAAATACAAAGTATCTCTTACCTGACTTGAAATTTCTAATTCTAGCTCTACCCTGTAATAAATCCCAGTTAAATTTCTAAGCATTTAACTTTTATAATTAAATTAGTATAAACAAATCCAAATCTGTTCTTACTGCAGATTTTAAATGTTCAAGGTTTTTGGTTTGTTTGATTGGTTTTGAGAGTAGTCTCACTATGTAGCCCTCTCTGGCCTGAAACTCACTATGAGACCAGGCTGGCCTCAAACTCACATTGATCTACCTGCCTCTGCCTCCCAAGTGCTAGAATTAAATGCCTGAGCCACCACACCTAGCTTTTTAAGTGTTTACTTAAAAAACAAACAAACAAACAAACAAAAAACAACTGGAGGCTGGAGAGATGGCTCAGTAGTTAAGAGCACTGACTGCTCTTGCAGAGGACCCAGGTTCGATTCCCAGCACATGGCAGCTACGAACTGTCTTTAACTCCAGTTCCAGGGGAGTCTGAAGCCCTTGTCTGACCTCTGTGGCATTGCACAACACAGGTGCACTCACACACATGATGCAGACAATACACTCATGCACATAAAAATAAAATATTTTTTAAAAAGCCACTGAATCATCTCTCCTGCCCTGTGTTTACTTTTAATAAAAATTACATTTTGAAAAATTTAATATTATTGATATGTACTAAAGTTTTTTCTTACCTATTTACCTTTTTGAATGGGGAAGTATACTGATGTCAGCTATTTTTTTTTAATTTTTATTATTTTTATGTATGTGTGTAGTGCCTACCTGTAGGCAGTTGCATCCATGTCATGTATGATTCTAAACACAGGTGGATGATAACTGGTGTCAGCATCTCCCCTGTAGCACCTGTCTCTGTCATCACCACCTGGATGGGTGGTGTGATGGAGAATCTTCATTGTCGACTTGATTGGACTTAGAGTCACCTGAGACTCTTAGGTTTATGTTTGTGACTGTGCCCACAGAGATCAAAAGAGGGAGTTGGATCCCCTGGAACTGGAGCTACAGGTTATTAGCCATTGTGTGGGTGCTGGGAATTGAACCCGGGTACTCCACCAGAGCAGCCAGTGTCCTGGACCACTGTGCACTCTCCAGCCCCCAGCTATTAGTTTTAAATGTGTCAAATAATATGGTTGGCAATGGATAGAACCTAAAATAGATACGTGGTAAAATAAATACTAGCAGTAAAACTAAGCAGTGGGTATGTAGCTTTTAATTGTATGTTTGGTAATTTTTTGCTACAATATTTTTATTCTTTGAGAATTTTGTAACAATGTATTTTGATCATATTTACCCTCCATTTTTCCCCCTAACTTCTTCCAGATTAATTTACTGAGGCCAATTTGTGTTGCCCATATGCTCATGAGTGTGTGGCTATCTAGTGGAGCATTGTTGACTTACTAGGGTCCACATCCCTTAAAGAAAACTCACTCTCCCTCCCCCCAGAAGCTGCCAACTGTAGGTACTTATACTGTTTGGGGTAGGAGCTTCTGAACTCCTCCCCCTTCCATGTTAGAGTGTTAACTGGCCTGATCTTGTGCAGGCAACCACAGTTGCTTGTCATGTCTTGCAGACACTGTTTCACTCAGGCCTTTCCTGACCTGTGGCTCTTAAAATTTCTGTTCTGTTATCTTCATTGGTCCCTGAGCTTTAGGAGGAGAGGGATGCCCCATTTGTAGCTAAACACTCCACTTATACTTATTCTTTACTTGTGCTGGTTGGGTTTCTATCAATTTAATACAAACTAGGGTCACCTGGAAAGAAAGAGCCTCATTGAAGATTTGTTCCATTAAACTAGCCTGTGAGCATGTCTATGGAGCATTTTCTTGACTGCAAATCAATGTAAGAGGCCTAGCCCTCTGTGAGCAGTGCCATCCCTGGGCAGGTGGGCCTGGGCTGTATAAGAAAAGTAGCCATGGGGCTGGAGACAAGGCTCAGTGGTTATGAGCACTGGCTGCTCTTGTAGAGGACCCAGGTTCTGTTCCCAGCACTCAGGGTGACTAACAACCATCTGTAGCTCCAGTTCCAGGGGATATGATGCTATTCTCTGGCCTTTGTGGGCATTGCATGCACAGGAACACTTATGTACATGCATGCAGGGCACTCATACAGATAGAACATAATAAATTTTAAAAAGAAAAATAGCAAGCCAATAAACAGCATTTCTCTATGGTCTCTG